AACGTTCCTCAAATGTCTGGTCATACTAAATAAATCTGAAGTTCAGAGAGAGAGAGAGAGAGAGGAACGTTCCTCAAATGTTTGGTGATACCAAATGCACCAGAAGTGTAAAGAGAGGAACGTTCCTCAATCTCTGGTCATTACAAATGCATCTGAAGTGTATAAAGAGGAACGTTCCTCAAATACTTAAGAAAAATCTTCAAAAAAGGAACTTGTGGAGACACATAATAAGGATTTTAAGACCAAAATGACTTCAGATTGTAAACCTTGGGTGAAAAAAAGGGAATTTTGATTTTCCCTTTTTGTTTTGGATTGTGTTTTATGAAGTTTCGGAATCCAATATATATAAGGTAGTTCAAATTCATTTTGGAATATTAAAAGTATTCAAAACTGACAGGTGATTTTGAAGAATGTCTTCCATAGAAAGAGAAGTATGAGTATAAGTAGGATCACCACTTATAGAATTAAATCCAAGTTCTTCTAGAATGCAATTTATATAATGAGCCTTACGAACGAAGTATAAGAAAAAAGAGTTGGACTGAGAGACCCTTTTCTCGTCTTCTCCTTATTCATGATAAGGAAATCAGTATATTTAAATTAAAACGTCTTTCAAAAGAAATAATTTTTACAAAATGATTTCAAATTAATTACTAAAATCTGATTTCAAATTAATTACTTAAATCCAAATCTAGATTTTTTTGATTCGTACATGTTTTTTTCAAAGTGCGTTAAACATGTTAAATGTCATATTGGTGAGAAATGTTGATGTACACGCTTAACGCACTTTGTGTCATTTTTTTTTAAATGCGTTGCCACAAATGTATATATCTCTCTTTTTTCTATGTATATTAGGAAACTACAAACATTTAATTTTAGTTGGGAAATAGATAGATTCCAACATAGGAATCATAAAAGATATTAAATAACAAAAATAGCTTTGGTTTGGAGTGAAAAAGGGATTTTCAAAACAAGTCTACAGGGAAAAATCATTACAATAAACACTTATCTACTGGGTGTGAGTGGGAAAGCTCTTTTATCAAACTCGTGACAGAGAATTATTCTCCGAGGGCTTGCCCGAGTTCCTGTCAAGGGTGTGATAAAAGAGCTATCCAACTCACAGCCAGTAGATAAGTGTTTTATTATACTGATGTATAATATAATTTCAGAGGTTTGAATTTTTTTTGAGTAAGATAATATTCTGCAAGAATAATCTGAAATCCCAATGACGTCACAATACTACTGAAGTTAATATGACATCATCAGTTTATCGCTGGAAATCAGAATTGGCGGCAACAATTGCATGAAAATTTTTGGAGGGTTGATAGCAAAAACTTATATCCCGGGGTATAGCTTTGCTATGCATGGACTATTACGGATAATTATTTTATCTTCTGAACTTTATATAGAAAACAAAAGTATAATAAATATAGAATATCCTTGCATCCATGAGTGGTTACTGGTACTTGTATTTCTGCAAAATGCCTTAAAAGACTCAATCTTCCATGTAGAGTTGCCGTTTGTTCCTCTCTCAAACACTTCTGCAATGGGCTCAAGTAAAGATTTTTGACATAATGTTTAAACGTGATATTTGCAGAATTTTTCAAATTAAATTAAAAGTTCTTGATTAATTGTGTATAAGTGCAAACGCACTACTTTTTATGTTTATCACTGTGATGAGGTGAATGTGATAAGGTGAACGTATAAGGTACAGAGTGCTAAAAGACTTTGTTAGCTAACTACAAGAACACTCATTGACAGATGTAAGGTGGAACAATAATGGTTATTTATCTCAACATCCTCCTGGGTGACAATCGATTCAATTTTCAACTAAAACAACTTTGGTTCAGTAAAAAGTTAAAGCATTCAAAATTCCAAAAGATTGCTTAGGCTTAGTGAGAAAAATAATGTAAATGTGTGTCGCCTTTCTTTTTCTTTAATGACAACGGTACCGGTAGGTTGTTAGAGAAATTTGAAAGTTGACGATACAAAATGAGTTTCTTATCACAGTACTGATTTACACTACTATCCTAGCTATTGACATGCTTTTTTTTCTAAAGAATATTTAGTTTTTTTGGTTTCATTTCCTTGGGAACAGATTCTAACTTTTACAAAAAAAAGTACCTTATTTAACAACAGTGTAAGAAAAAATCCATCAAAGTTTGAAATGATTGAGCAGTTTTCGACAAAACCCAAGTCCAAAATTTTATGATAATAACGGGAGACCATTACGAGTAGTATCCGCGGAAACAGTTGTTCGAAGACCTCTTCACTCCAAGACACACAGACGTTGTCAATGAGAAACTCGAGCATCTTGTACCAGTGGCTGATTAAAGGGGGGGCGCACCCGGCGCGCCCTCTTTAAATTGTCAAAGTTAAGCTAAGTCACAGTCTCGTCTAGAAAATGTAAATATGTCTACTTTGTAGACCTCATTTTTACCATACAAAATCTCTAGAACCCATGAGCTTACGGGGGCTTCGCCCCCTGGGCCCCTATCAAAGCTGGACCCACTGGGGGCCTCAAGGCTGCCCCCAGACCCCTTGCCTACTTTTGGCGCTCCCTCTAACTTCAATTCCTGGATACGCCCTGTTTGCTATCAATTTAAAAGTACTATGTATCTTCTAAACAACGTAATATTACATATGATCAAAGAAGATTTCAGTAGAGCGCAAAAGCCACTTTGGGCCTTATTTGGCCCTGAAAATTTCTGAAAAATCTAAACCCATCTGCTTAGGTTGCAAATGCAGTATTTATCACTTGGAGTGTTGGCGACCACGTATCTATTTTAAAATCATAATGTTATTTTCCTTTTAGTCAATGCATTATGACGTCATGGAATGGGCCAATTTCCTCGTATCCTGTACATTCTTTTGAAAATGGCCTATATTTAAGTATTTTTTCTATATTTCATATGGAGCAAAACCTCTGATCTAAAATATGCAGATACATAATGAAAGATCTGTTTCGAAAGATAAAAAAATGTTTTATTCTTTGGATCGTGGGGTGTTCTCACATTTTAATTTTTTGCTGGAGGTAGTCAAATACCCATATTTTCTGCAAATTTCAAGAACATTGTAATTTCTCAAAGCCTTTTTCCAATATCTGGATTCACGAAATATTCTGAATACATATGAGCATAATGCTTTAAATCAATCATGTTGTGCCATCGTATTGCGTTTAAAAAAGAATGCATGATTTCATTTTTATGTTAATAAAATGTTATTTATGATCAAAAGTAATGTTTTCCCCATTTTTAATGGGTAATTTTAAAATACACTGTACCGTCATTAAACTGAAAAGATTTTTTTTTTTAAAAAATCATCTTCTAATTTTCTTTTTGTAGTAATCTTCATATAGTCCTTGATTTTCATTGCTTTAATCTGTCATATAGTACCATCGTATTACGTTGAAAATACATGGATGATTTCATTTTGATGAAACTAACATTTTATTAATAATCAAAATTTATGTTTCTTTCGGGTTTAATTTTAAAATATGGTCACAAAACTGAAGAAATTTTTTTTTTATCAAAAAAGGTTATCGATTTTCCTATTATACTCATCTTAGTAGTCACTAAGGTATATATTTCACTGAAAAGTGTCATCAGTTCTCATTAACATTTAGCACATTTGAATTACGATTACAATCTAAAGAAAAATTCAAAACGAGAGGAGTTAGCATATACATTTAGCCAATGTTTTGAGGCAGACGGTAAACCAACGATCTAACTTAAAATATTACATTGTCTGATTTGACATTCAATTAAATTTATAACAATGTAAAATTTGTTTAACAGTTGAAAATATTTATACTTTGACTCGATAAATTACGATAAACTTAGGTGTAACTTCCGTAACACCCACATTTTATCCATACATTTAAAATGAAACTGATTGCTTTGAAAAGTATATAAGTTGGTGGTCACATAGGCATTACATATAAATGTCTCATATCCTTGATTCAAATCATACTCTTCAGGAAAAAAGTTTCTCATGTACGACTTAAGATATTTTTTCATAAATTTACGCATTCAAAGTTTTTGATTAAAACATTGAACGTATCTAACAAATGAGTACGGACTGACTAATACATTTTTTCAGTCATTGGAAATGGATGAAGAGGACTCAGTTTCAATCGTAGGTGTAGGATGCACTTTTCCTGGGGCTGAACACCTTGAAGCCTTCTGGCGTGTTTTAGAAAATGGAGAGGATCACGTACAGGACATCCCAGGGTTCTAAGTGAGCTGTTTTACTGTGTTGCTCCCGACACAGTAAAATTTTCTCCGACACAGTAATTTATGCGTGCGACACAGTAAAAATTTTGCCGACACTTTAATATCTTTGCTAATTAAAAATCCAAACATGTAAATTCTCTCTAACTGAGATTTTAGTCAAACAATTCTACCGTATTTCAGTTCTAAACGGCAGAGCACTTAATTAATTGCATGGAAGATTGCAGCTTAGGAAAAGTACTAAAACCAATTTTAGAAAAACCTTTGGAAAATCGCTTTGTATTGTCGAGATCATTCAGCAAAGAAAAGTTAAAAAATATAAACGATTACGTATCTCTACTTTGCACAACTTATCAGATTGTAATTGGTAGGTTTGTGCAAATAAAAGAGTATGTTAAGTCAGTGCAACTGATATGAGGATGCATCATCCAGAATTTTGATCGAGCTGTTTTATGTGTGAATTATATTCCATTAATTTCACCTGATTTGACGTCCAGCAGATCCATTCACGACATTGCTGTGGAAAATCAAAGGAAAATAGCGGTCAATGTCTCAAAAATCAATTTACCTTTCAAAATTCTTAAAGCTTTGCCAGAATGTAAAAAGAACATTCACTTAAATCATCAATTTGTCATGGAAGACATAACACTGGGGAATCAATTTGATAGCTCCAGTATAAAAATTGGAAGATTTAATGTTGAGCAAGATACAATGTTTGAGACATGCTTTAGCATAATCATACATTCTAAAGCGGACATGGAACTCAGGCTTTAAGTTTCCACAGAACATGTCGGACGATATCTTGGAGAAAATATGCTTGAAACCCTCGAAGTTCTTCTGGACATGATACTTTCAAAACCAGAACTGTGTTTTAATGACGTGAAATCAACCTCTTGTATAGAGCAGGAAATTTAGAGCTCACAATCAGGTGTGTATTAACTCTCTCTCTCTCTCTCTCTCTCTCTCTCTCTCTCTCTCTCTCTCACTCACTCTTTCATTTACCAAACATTTAATGGGAAGATGTTTTGCTTTAAGTTATTAACCTAACTTCATTTCATTTACAGCAAAGTTTTTGGTCATCAATGGAAAAAAGATTCCAAAGAAAAAAGTCCTTTCATTATTACAACATCCTGTATTTGCTTTTGAATGGGGGCGGAAGGAAAAGACTCGTATATCTGTGACAGATATTCGACAGATACAAAGTTTTACTTTAAAAGGTAAGATGCAAATATTTATGTTAAAAAATTCAAACGTATATTTTTAATGCCAGAATACAGAAGAGTAGATACACAAATTAAGATAACCAATCCATATAAGCCTCATATCCTTATGAAAATGAAATACAAAACATATTACTAAACATTATTAGTTTTAATATAAAAACAATGTAGCCTGTTAATAAATTAAGCCATGTGAAAATTTTAATAATTCGACAAAAACCGCGCAAGTTTAGAAAATTATCTCACCTATATGAAATACAACCAATTGCAAGACAGTAAAGATTCAGCTTCCCACTGAAATCTTATCTATCCCGGCCGTTCATTTCATACTAGGTTTACGTTTGTAGATTTTTATCTCCATATTTTTAACTCCTTCGACATTTGCAATAGTTACTTTAAAATTTAATTTGAATTTCAATTACTATTACTCTAACCTTGAATACTTTTAAAAATGTTAATGCACTTTTAAAATAATTTTCAATCTTTTGCAAAATCTTTAAATATTGTTTTCTGTAGTTAATTTATCCAAACATCTGAACTCTGGTCACTCCAATCTCATTGGTTGCTTTTTCCTCCTAACCAAATACATTTTCCGATAAACAAGTAAACAACTGCATTCTACATGTTCTAATGAATCGCCTGTTCCGGGAATCGTTCGATCAGGTTAAAAGGTTACCCTTGCGGCCAGCATCAATGTTTACTTATATCTTCAGAAGGTCGCATCACCACCAAATAGTGCAAATACACAAAAACGTGTTACTACTTTTTTAGTGCAATTTTTGTTATGATATATACATGTATATATCATTTGATTTTGTTGATAAGATTGTATGAAATTAACCCGTTGGTAAGTTTTGTAATACAACGTTTCAGAAGCACATGTCAACTTACCACTATTTTAAAGTTGATAATTTCTTGAGGATGTGTCATTAGTCCATTGTTATTTTTCCAGGTCTTTATGGAATTTCTCTATCGAAAAAAAATTTGAATGTCAAACTAGCTTTGGAAAATCGAAGAGCCCGAGACGTTTGAATTGCTGTGATAAGTTGAAAGATATCCAAATCAAAGTCCAGAGATTCAGAAATTACAAAATTCTGAAACAAACAGTGGCTCATTATTTAAGGGAAACAATTTGTGATGTGGTTACCCTTAAATATTTCTTGTCAATTTGTACATTTTCACAGATTTTTACTGTTCTTCTCAGTATAAGAATTATTTAGCAGTTTGATCCATTATTCCAGTCTTTAGATCTAGATTTGTTAATTTTAAAAGTAGTCTTTTAAAGTAATGAGTAAAATAAGAATTTTTTGTGCCTTTTCTCGTATTATTTTAATGAAAATGTCAGCCTTAATGATTTCAACATGTTTAAGAGGATAAATCTGCAGTTAACAGTATTATCGATTGTCCATCAATATTAAGCATGATACATACTCTGACCTAGTGAAGTATTCCACTAGATTAATATTCATGTTTTTTTTTTATAAATCCAAACAAAATATGAATGTAAACTAACCTTCACAGATCCAAAATATTCGTTACTGTTAAATTAAATTTCATTTTTTCATAAATTTAATAATTTCAATATTTCAATTGTAAATTTTTATTCAAAGAATGAAAAATATTTATCTTTTTAAAAAGTATTTTAATAATTAATTGCTTCTAGAATGTAGCAGAGTTGGAGAACCTTACTTAAAGGAAAAACGTTTTTGGCAATCAAATTTAATCAAGATTTTGCCAAAGTATCATGTTTGTTCATCAACATATTACAGTGCATGGATGTATAACAGTATTACATTGTTAGATAAGTACTTTTTTAACTTAGAAATTAAGCAGGTTAGAATTTAGAAATATACTCTATCTTTAAACACTATGTTAACAATAAACTTTGTATATTGAAATATACTCTATTGTTACACTATGTTAACATTAGTTTAAAGTCTGGTTACGTAGATGTACAGTAAGAGGAAATTTATGGTCAACTTTGATTAGCTTCTGGTTTTTTTTTATGCCTGTAGAAAAATATTGTGTGAATAATGTCTTTTGAAATAATCATAAAAGCCACATTAACTACTTATCTTGCTTAGATAAATAAAAGAAACTTAAGAGAAAAAAGTACAGTATAACAAGAGTTTTAGAGCAGATTACCAAAAACAACTAGTGTTTCCTATTTGATGTATTTAGCGAGAAATATTCGAGCTACTTTTAATGTCAAGAACGAGAACTCTAACACGATCATTTAGATGTTGAATAATTTGTAAGCAATATCCAATATCATAGCGATCTCAGAACACTTCTGAGGAAGCCAAAGAAAATCTTCAATTATAATTCCACCTATACCATAGCTAATTTATGTATAATTAAAGTAAGGATGCTTTACTTTTTATGACTGTATTCACTATCCTATTACATGAGTTTTATCATATTTTAAGTATTTTACGTAATACATTAAAATGTTTTTAAAATTTCTACTTTACTTTTTTTTCAATAATGAGTTAAAAAAAAACCCAGTTATTTCTTATAATATGTTAACTCAAATAAAATAATTCATCTTTATTCTATACTTATTGACTACATATCGCTTATTATTATGCATTGATAAACAATAATAAGGAGACGTAGAATCGTTTTTTTTTTGGAAATGGGGGTGAGGCAGTCAAAGAACAAAAATCATCGTGATTGCAAAACTAACTCACAAATGAAACAGGAGGCCCATGGGCCTTATAGGTCACCTGAGCATTATGCAACAATTTTCCAGTGATTGAATTTGATTCATGTTTTAAGCCAAATGATATGCTATTCCCAATTTTGAAAGAGGCACCATTGATCATCATAACAATACACTTAGCAGTTGATTAGTTTGTTTACTTAATACCCATAGGCAGGGTAGGGGAACAAAAAATGCATTTCAAGTAATCAGTAATATTAAGCAATAAACAGTAATGCCCCTATCACACATGAACCCCTGACCCTTTAAGCCAAGATACACACATTGCACAATTTTTGAAAAGGCACCCTTGCTTTCCAAAATTTTTTTGATTAATACCAAGGAGCAGATTTCAAACAATTTATCCTGTTTCAGTATATAAGTACAGTTCCCCTCTATGGTACCCCTGACCCTGGGGCCTTGAAATTCCTAATTCTGGAAGATTAGCACCCTTGCTCATCATAACTATATAGGTAGTTCATCTGCTTAATACCCAGGAGCAGAGAAGAATACTTTCAAAGATTTAATGTATTTTCACTATATAATCAATAGAGCCCAGCCTTATCACTAGATTCCCAGACCCTAGGGCCATAAAATAAAAATTTTGGAAGAGGTATTCTTGCTCATCATAACTATGTAATTAATTTATTTCATTCCTAGGAGCAGAGAAGAATTTTCTTTCAAAGAATTCATGTATTTTCACTATATAATCAAAAGAGCCCCACCATAACACCAAAACTCCTGACCTTTGGGCCATAAAATTCACACTTTTTGGTAGAAGCACTCTTGCTCATCATAACTATGCACTTAGTTAGCTTATTTAATACCTTGGGGCAGAGAAGAAGAATTTCAAAGAATTCATGTATTTTCACTATATAATCTATAGAGCCCCGCCCTAACACTAGAACCCCTGACCCTGGGGCTATGAAATTCACAATGTTGGTAGAAGCACTCTTGCTAATCATAACTATGCACTTAGTTAGCTAATTTAATACCCAGGAGCAGAGAAGAAGATTTTCAAAGAATTCATGTTTTTTCACTATCTATAATCGATAGAGCCCCTACCGAACACCAGAACCCCTGACCCTGGGGCCATAAAATTCACAATTTTGGTAGAGGCACTCTTGCTCATCAAAATTATGCACTTAGTTAGCTTATTTAATACCCAGGAGCAGAGAAGAAGATTTTCAAAGAAATAATGCATTTTCACTATATACTTATTTAGCCCCGCCCTAGCACTAGAACCCCTGACCCAGGGGCCATGAATTTCACAATTTTGGTAGAGGACTCAATGCTGATTACAATCATGCAAACAGTTTGACTGCTTGATGTCCAGGAGTAAAGTAGAAGATTTTTAAAGATTGCATTAATTATAGTGGTTTTTGCCCCACCCTCCAGGCCCCAGGGGGGCAGGGACCATGAAATTCACAATTTTTGTTTCTTTTTACCCACAGATGCTTTGTGCCAAATTTGGTTGAAATTGGTTCAGTGGTTGCCGAGAAGAAGATGAAAATGTTCAAATGTTAACGCACGACACACAACACACGACACACGACGCACGACGACGGACGAAAACAGATAGCAATAGGTCACCTGAGTTTACTCAGGTGACCTAAAAACAGGAACACGCTTTTAACTCTAAAATCCTTTTTCGTTTAGGGAGGGGTATAATTTAATTTTTTTAGTACCAAAATTTAATCATACACTGCTAATTATCCCTTATTTGGCAATACAAACTGGAGAGGGGGACCAAATTTTTAATGAACATTTTCAAAAGTAAAAACGATTTATTTGAAAAAAGGGGACAGGCCTTCATGTACCCCCCTATGCTACGTGCCTGTTTATTATTAACTGGTATATTTCTATCATGGAAGTTTTACTTTTGCATTTCAAGATTTATATAACAAACTGATGTGATTATATCTCATTAGTTGTTGAATACATATTTTGCTATATTTATGATTTTAATCTGCATAAATATACATTAAACACATGTTCGTCGGAAAAAAAAATCTAAACTGACTGATTAAATTAAATCTATCAATGCACTGTATCAATGCACTGTAGATGCATTTGAAAGGGGTTTTACTTTAAGGAGATTAAGGACCTTTAGCTGAAAAAATACCTGTCATTTAATTTTTTTCATATTTTGTATATATCTTATTAAGTATGTCTTACATTCTATAAAGGAGACATATCAATAGGTTTCTAGACTTATTTCTGAGATATTGAGTGACAAATACCATACCCCACAGTGTCTGAGCGGAGTTTTTATTATCCGTGTTTCTGGGTCAATTACTCATTCGATAATTGAAATTTTTCACCATAGATAAAAAATATACCAGCGGAAATGTGTCTCTTAAAATATTTTAGAGTATGAATAGGGTTAAAAATTCGAAAAAGCAAGATTCTTTTGTAACACCACATCTGGAGAAGGAAATTTACGACTTTTTAAAGACAAGTTAAAGCATGAAAAAGATTAATTTGCAAAAAATCCTATCATTCAATATATGAAAATTTACGTCGAAGTTCAAGGTCGTCATTGTATTGATTAACTGTAAAAATATCGATTGGTGAAGCTGAGCTCAATATTGCACGGGCAAAGTTAAACTAGTCATGATCATGAGAAAAACGTGTCATATTTACATTTCTCGAGTACGGGAAAACCCTACTATGACGTCACACATTTGCGAAATAAGCTAAGTAAGACATAACTACAATATATTTCCGCCAACAACCAAGTAAAAATATTTTTTGTGTTCTGTAATTCATAAAATATCCCACCATGTACTGATCATGACCCGTTTTTATGATATTATACTACCCATGTTTTACCTTGTATAATCTTACTGTACTAAGATCCACTATGACGTCAGTGACTCGTTGGACGCGCAGTGTAGGGAAATAGAGGAGTGGACCAATCTATTCCGTAATTTAAAACTATTTGAAAGAAAATTTGAATGTTTTTAGTTATTTTTATACAAGATAGTGAACTCAAACAAACAGTAATTTTTTTTTTTACAAATACTGTGGTTTTAATCTGGTTTTGTACATATTTTATCAGAGATTATGACGTAAATCAACTGAGTCACGTGACCATACATCCTTCATCCCCTTAAAACATAGAGAGATATATAATAAAGCATCTAGGGTAATAGAAGATTAATATTCGAGGGGTGATCAAAAGGTTAGCAAACTATTTTAAAATAACTTCCATAAAAGAAAGAATATTTGGTTTTAATGTTGATTATATTTTAAATTAATCCTCCCTGATTTTAATGCACATCAACAACTGTTCTGCGCATGCTCAAATCACGTGATATTGGCGGTCATGTGACCCCCTCCGTGAAGTTCTGTCGCAAAAGTTAAAAGATTTTTCCGAATTTTATATTTCTTTCCATGTGAGTTAATTTTTATG